AAAAAAAACAATTGTTCTGAGATGGCCTCGGCATGCACCTCAGCAGTCTCAACTGCATCTTTTTGCTCCTCAGCCTCATCCGCCACCATATCAGGAGCAAGAGCCGCGGGAACTTCTGGAGCATCAGAGCCGTTGTTGCCCTGCCAAGACTTGGATTCAAGTCTCTGAGACGGCTTTAACATTAACAAAAAAAGTGATCACGAGTCTCAGCTGTCTTTGGCTCCTCCGCTGTCACAGTCAGAGCCAGAGCTTCAGCAGCTTTATCCTGCCAAGTCTGCCAAGTGCCAACGGCAAGACTCCGTAAGTCTCTGAGCGGGTCTACTGTGACTGTGACAGTAATGCTGCGACACCATTATCATTACCATCGCCGGGATCCTATGTGTCCAATTGTCCAACTCCAACTCCAACTTCAAGTCCTGACCCATCTGAACTGTCGCAGGAGTCTCATCCTCAATCGTCGGGTTTGGAACCTCTATCGTAGCCGTAGCCAGTGGAGTAGTATTGTTCAATTTGCTGGCCTGCAAAGTGGCTGGCGGCTGGCAGCTGGCAGCCGAGGATTTGAATTGAAACTGAATCAAGTGCTGAATCCTGTCACTGTCAATTATCATTCTGATGAATAGCAGCTGAACCAGTAACCAGTAGTAGTAACTAATCAGTGAATGAAACAAAGCAGTAAGCATTGACAACTACCTCCCTTGTCACTCGTCGCACTGGCAGCCTTAGTCATAATCACTAGTCACACTAGTCTGGAAAGCTTTAGTAGGCTGCAACATGTTAAGCCCATGAGCTGATTTTTACAGTATCAAATCAAAGCTCGCAGCTAGGCATGCCCTAGTTGAACCTAGAGTTCACTCCGACTCCAATATCTGACACGACTGACGATCCCTCCCACCGGTCCCCCCTGGCAGTCGGACCTCTCGGTCTTCCGGTTGAGCAGCCGCATGTTCCTTGGCATCAGTGGCAGTGGCCTGCCAAAAGTATCGGTCATGGCAGCGGCGTCACGTGATGTCACGTGGTTGAAATTGAAAATTGAAAACTCAATGACTCAATAATAACAATGTCACCAGTCACCAATAATCAATAAGCTCAGTTCACCGGTCAAACAGGTCATCACCGCTATTGAAGTTGGAATCGAAGTTCGAAGTCCGAAGTACAACTAAATAACTAACCAACATTTTAACCAAAACTCATAACTCATCCATTAACAATTAACAATTCAACCGTCTTTACTCTCCTTACCTTGGCAGAGTGATTTAATGATTCTGACAGTGCAGCCGCTTCAGCCTCCATGGTTGAATCTGCTGCTGCAGATGCTGATGACGAAAGCAGAGCTTGGTCACGGTCCTGCTCCGACACAGTCTGGGAGTCTGGCAAGTCACAGACTTACGTCAGAGTCACTGCTGTAATAGGTTGTGACAAAACCATGAGAAACAGTTAACAATAACAATAACAGGTACGGTAACACAACCATTTGTCCTGGGCCCTGTCTTTGTCAAAAACCTCCGCTGCTGCTGTCACTGCCGCTGCCGCTGCTGTTGCTTTGGCCTTCGCTGCCTTCTCCGTCTCCTGATCCTGATCCTGATCCTCATTTGAAGATTGGTCGGAGTCAGAGGAGGAGGAATCCGTCTCGTCCTTCTCAAGTTGTGTAGTGGCATCAGCAAGCTTCTGGCGATCCTCAATGTTGGCAATGCATCGTCCAATTGCCTTTGATGCTGGGTGCGAGTCAAAGAACGTTTTGGCTCCATCGTCAGAATAGATGATCTTCAAGGACGGCATGGACGTCTCCCCAAAGACATGTGGAAGGCATCGCCGGAGACAAACAGAATCTTGTTTCCCGTAGTACCTGAGTTCCAATCACAGGTCACAGGTAGTTTTGAAGTTTTGACTTTGACTCGGTGACCGGTG